CGCAACTCTTGTTCTGGTGTCGCTCATTTTCAATGCGGCACTATGCGGTCTGGTGCGGATCAGTGAATCAGATCAAGTAGCGATGCCCTTGTTACTACTAGTAAGGCACCTGTTCCTAGTAGCGTGGCACTTGTTACTAGTAGTAAGGCACCTGTTACTAGTAGCTTATTGGTTCTAATAGCTTCTTGTTACTACTAGTAAGGCCAGGAGCCCCTAGTAGCTTCTTGTTACTACTAGCGTGGCACTTGGACCGACTCGGTCTCTGGCGGTGATGTTGCGGCCCATGTCGGTGTCCGCCGTGCCAAAGTGCAAGGGCTGCGCCATGTCCTGGCAGGGCGGGCGGCGCGGGGCGGCGCGGGGCGGCGCAGGGCGGGGCCGGGTGGGCCTTGGTGAGTGGTGGGAGCAACGTCTGTTTCTGAAGTTGCTGAAGTGGCATTTCAAGTTTCACTTGGCTTGCAGCACAGCGGGGGAATCCACTCGAATGAAAGAGGATGAAAGACTGGCAAAACGAGGAGTTAGTGCCTTTTTGCACTGTAAGCCAAACGTTGCCAAACGTCGAGTTTGCAGAAAGAATCATTGAGGAAAGCACTGAGTTGAAACGTCCTCCGTTGGGATCCCCGACCCCCAAGAGATTGATGAGGTATTTCACGCAGTCGGCATCTGTGAGCTTCACACCATCGGGCCTCGAGGCCGAAGCCTGTGATGCCCTTTGCTCCTGGTAGCTTCTTGTTCCTAGTAGTGATGCCAGGAGCCCCTAGTAGCGTCCTTAACGATGCCAGGAGCCCCTAGTAGCGCCCTTGTTCCTAGTAGTAAGGCCAGGAGCCCGTAGTAGGGTCCTTGTTCTTAGTAGTAAGGCCAGGAGCCCCTAGTAGCGTCCTTGCCCCTAGCTCCTAGTAGTAAGGCCAGGACATAGTAGCGTCCTTGCTCCTAGTAGTAAGGCCAGGAGCTAGTAGCGTCCTTGCTCCTAGTAGTAAGGCCAGGAGCTAGTAGCGTCCTTGCCAGGAGCTAGTAGTGTCCTTGCTCCTAGTAGTAAGGCCAGGAGCTAGTAGCGTCCTTGCTCCTAGTAGTAAGGCCGGGAGCCCCTAGTTGCGAAAGGCCTTGCCAGCAAAGGACTTCGAAAGCCGTTTCACGCCCGTGGCCAGGATCGAGTTTCGTTGACATCACTGAGCCTCCCGCCATGTGATCTCAACGCCCAAGTCTTTACCTCTCAACGCCCGTATCAAGCGTTTGTCCCACGACAGACCGAACCAGAAGAAGATGTTCGATTACAGTTCTTCCCAATGGCACCGTCAAATAGAAAAGGCATGGCTCTAATCAAAAAAAGAGATGGAGTTGCTGCTAGAGAACTCTCACGCAGCCGACCTGTGAGCCGTCCGTAGAAGTAGAGGATGGCTTTCATCAAACATCTCAGTCAATCGCAGAAATTTTATCGTAGATGCAAAGGTGGGGTACCGCGGCAGAAGGGGCAAGCAATGGATGACCAGCCCATTGATTAGCATTTCTAATGTCCTTGACAATGCAACCACTTCAGTTCGACCTGTTTAAAGCCAAGCTATGACAAACAATCTTCAAGGAGCGGTCGTGGCTGCACATGCCGCGGGTGATTGCCGGTGAAGTGGCGTGTCGATTTGCATCTCGCCTTCATCTGCATTCGCAAGTTGTGTTTCGAGCGCACACTGCAACCTTGAGGGTAACCTTGCCTTCTTACCGTTCTTACCTCAAGGTGCCGATAAGTTTGAGCTTTTTTCGACGCTTGTATTATATTCTCTGCCATGCGCTTTTACAGAAGTCCTGTGGGTCTCAAACCGAGCATGAGTGTTGCCGGTCTTTGCTTCGTGCTGACAAGGGCGGCTCGTCTACTACATACCTGCATTCCTGCATACCCCGGAATGGTGCTATGCAGATGGCACATTTGCCAAGTGTCTGTGTACTACAGGGCAGTGGTGTCCTTTTGGGAAGAATAGATGGGTTGGTTTGGTACCATTCACCCATTGGTTGTACACTTGAGAGTATCCTCTCTAGTAATCCACTCACTAATAGTAAAAGGCCATCTATGCTACGTACCCTTTAAGTATCTCGGAGCCCTGACGCGAGATGTATCTTCGGCTTCTGTCGAGGGGTTTTTCGATGCTCTTTTGAATAGGTTTCTTCTGCCTTAGGCTCATGACGTCGGTACAGTCTATTTCATGTTGCGAATGTGCGAGTGGTGCCGCATGCCCCGCTCCTTCAAGCCCCTACTTCAAGGACTGGATTCAGAGTCCTGCCATGTCCTGCCGTCCAGGGCGCCGATTGTCTTTGCAGTCGTCGATTTGGGCCTTCTCACACCTCCAAGACACGAGTTAGTCGGGGAGTCACTCCGTTAGTCGGGGAGAATGTTCACTTCTCTTCACCTCGGGCTCCTACTTCCGTTTGTAGGCAACGTGGAGGAAAGGACTATGATCCAAAGACTGACTGTAGGTCAAATGGTGGGTTTCCATGTGACCCGATTGCCAAATGAGAATGGAACCTGGGTCCAAACCCTGACTCTTGGGAAGTCTTTGGAACAGCTACGGCAAGTGTCTCTCCAAACCGTCCATTGAGCATGGGGCGTGAGATTCGTGAGCAATTTACCGCTACTGTGGCTTGTGCCAGGTTGTGCCTGGTGCTGGGTTGCCGTTGGAAATGAAGCTCCGTGGTCCACGGATACTTCTTGTTCACCTGCCAGGTCTGTGCAGCTCGAAGTGGCGGGTCTTTCACGCTTGGCAACAGCTGGCAACTCTTGAGCTTTGGATGGCAACTGGGTAAGCAGCTGGGTAGCCACATTGGGCACAAAGTCACTCCAAGGCAAGAATCAAGTGGATCCAGTGGATCCAAAACAAAAACGACCCTGTCGAACATCTCTGAATCCAGGAGCGAATCAAACGAATCCAATCTATCCTTGTGCGCCTTGTGTGCCCAGGCGGCCACATCTGCTGCATCCTTTCCACCCATCAGGTGCTTCACTTGAGCTACCTCAGCATGTGCACGCAAGTGGCACGGCAAAGGATGATGTCTTTGACTAGTGTAATTCAGATAGATCCCTTGAGAAAGATTTCAGACATTATTGGTTATATAAATCAAAAATCTGACTCGACCATCAACCCTGGAATCAACGAATCTGATCAGAAAAGGATTCCTTTCCCTTTTCAGACCTCTTCACCTCACCAAAGAGCACCTCAGCTCCCCAACCGCCGAAGTGTCTAAGGCACTCATGGTCGTCATGCCGATGGCCTCAATGCTTGTGCGGTTAGAGATATAGACGTGGTATGACGTGGTTAATAAGGCGGTTAGCGTCTATCATGGAAAAGGTATGGCATAGTAGAGCTCTCTGAGGCGATTAGTTTGCTTGTCTTACATGGTCGACAACAGCGGCAGCTACAATGTTCCAGAACAACAAAGACATGTCAACGGGTTCGGGTGTCTACCTGTCCTTAGCGGATGGATCTGTTGCCTAGAACAGTTCACTGATGGCTCTTTTCAGGTGCGGGCCCAATAAAGAGCATGAACGGGCAGTGATCCCGAACTGATCAAAACCCGGAAAACCTCCAAAGGTGTGGGAAGATCACTTCCCACACGCCCAAGAGGGCCCCGGCCTCATGGCCATCCTTGTCCCAAGCGTGTGCTCTCAGACAAAGGGCCTCGGGCAAGTTTGGCGATGCAAAGCCTACTGCAACCTACCGCGCCTTTCGAAAATGCTGATGGAATTCTAATCGTCTATTTGCAAACTGAAGAGTTTTGTCCACTTTCAGAAGCATTCCAAGAACTTCACTCTAAAACAGAACACTTTCATTCCAAGAGTATCCTGGGTATCCTTCCTTTCCCCCACTCCCTCGCGCTGGCAGCCCGAACCAGCACCAACGCCAAAGTGCGCCAGAGTCCACCGCCCACCTTCGTCGGACTCAGATGACGAAGGGAGATCTCAGCGATTTCTCGGAAGCGAGGAATCTGCTGTGAGGACCACAACTTCATAGGATCCTCCCAACCAAACCAAGATAAAATAGTAAGTGAAATCCACTTTTATCCACTTTCAGTTGAGAGACATTCCCTTTGGACACGTTGGAAAGGTCTTATGGCCACCGATTTTAAAGTGGAAGGAGACACTCTAGTCGTGGAGCCAAGCTGAGAGCGTTTCAGCACAATCTGTGAGGCCCTGCAAGTCCGGAGCCAAAACTCATGGCTCTTCTGCCAGGAAAACAAGACGCTCTTGGGACACAAATCGTGGTTCTTTGATGTTCTTGGGATCGAATTAGACACTGAATTGTAGGAAGCCATATCTCACGGGTGGCACGGCGCAAGTTTGCTTTGTTTGTCTCAAGCTGGGTGTGGTGCTGTCGTGTTTGTGTTCAATGTGCTAGATGTATCATGACATCTCAGGACATGTGCTTATGACTCATGATTTCTCATGACATCTCATGACTCGTCAGCTGATCTGGTGATTTGGAGTTGTCTGCGGATGCCTCCATTCATGAATGCAGTGTCTGCTTGACACTGGTCTTGAGAGGGGATGACGCTGGCAGCCTGTTGAAGCCGACTTCATTGTTCTTCAGACTTCGGGATGGCTTTCTTCGCTATCTCTATCTTTCTCTCTAAGTGTTGTAGATCCTGATGGAGCCAGCGGCAGGATCGCGGTGCTCGGAAGGTTTGCCTGCTTTGAGTTTTAGATCTGAAACTCGATCTACAGGGTAGTACCGAGTATCTACATAGAGCCCAAAGATTAAAGCTTCGATCGAGGAATTCAGGTCACAACGCAAGCTTTGTGCCCAAGCAAGATTTCGAGAAGAGAAAGCCGGTGGTAAATGAAAGCATTACAAGAGATTCAAAAGTCCAACGTCTAGTAACAAGTGCCTTACTAGTAGTAACAAGAAGCTACTAGTAACA